GCATAATACATCTGATTCTTTTTGTCACAAGTTTTGGAGGTTGGCTCTATCAACAATCGTGTATCATCTTGGGCAGGTAAGGAATCAAATGGTGTTTCAACAGGTTAGGCTATTTATTTATTTATTGGATAAAAGAAGGTTAGGCTACCTAGGGTGCAGGTTGTGACTATGATTGTGAATGTTATTCGATTGATAGTTGCTTCATGATCCAAGATACCGAGGATTAAGGAGAATTGGGATTTAGTTATTGAGTGGAGTTTTGACCAAAGCTATCTTAGTTCAAATGTTTCTGCACTGCTTTTCTTTTCTTAGTTTGAAGAGCGTATAGTACTAATCTTAGTTGATGTAAATAAGAAGGGATTCTCTAGTGTTAAACTTCATTTCTTGATCAATGGAAAAGTTCTAATTTTGCTCAAAAACAAAATCGATAAAATTCAGTAATGCAATCTTAAGAACTAAAACCTCCAAGTTTATTGAGGAGAGTAAGAGTTACCAGAAGCCTTGAGAGTATGAAATATCGAAATATTTAATACACAACAGAAACGTAAGAATTTAACTAAATTTAACAATCACATAAGCGTCTTTTATTGTTTTAGAATTTTTTTTTTAAAATTAGAGAGTTCACATGGAACCTTTTTGTGATTTTAGCAATAATAGTTCCTTGAATATCACCTTCAGTTGCTTATGGAAGCATTAGCTGAAGCAAGAATTAATAATGTTTCTTCAATTTAGGAAGCTATTAGTTATTGCTGTTTTTGGCATTGCTTTCTTGTTTTAGCTAGTTGTGATTTCACGGCCAAAACATTGTCAATTTTTCTCAGGTGATCTTTTAAATGCTAGGTAACATTGTGCCAAAGACATTACTTAGAATTATATGGTGATATTTTCAAGAGCATTAAGGTTCACTATCGAAATAGATGTTAATTGCCTCTCTTTTTAAGTGTCCAATGACTAAAAGTGATTGATCAATCAGGTGGACCCTTTTTGCAATTATCTTCGAATTTTTTCATGAATATTAAGATGATAATAAACGATTTTTTTACATGCCCTGCATCAACTTGAAAACTGTGTAGCTTTAATATCCAAATGAATAGTTTTTAATAATATTGCAATCACTGGAATCTCCTGAATTGGATGACAATTCAAGATTTGTCTTCGTCTGTAGTAATGTCTAATTGACAAGTTCAATTTAAATAATTAAAATAAGTGATAAGCGACAAAGTAAAAAATTATTTTAATGGAGAAAAGTACAGAATTCATCATGCTGGAGAATAGATATTTTACTATTTCAAGTTGAGACTTTGGGTTCCTTAACCGAGAGAATGGATATTTGATGATGAATTTGGTCTTAACAGCATTAATTCCCAAGGGAGAATATTAGAACTTATTATTTTAGTGTTTATACATTTATAAAGTATTTTTATTTAGGAAAAAGATATTGTAAACATAAACTTTTACCTACGTAAGACACATGTTCTATCATGTATAGGGGTGGCAATGGGGCGGGGGTGGGGGAGGGAGGGTTAAAAAAAATTTATTATATAATTTCATTATAATTAAATTTGAACAAATAATCAAGTACTAAAATATTAATATATCAACAAATTATTATTCATTGCAACTTTACAATTGAAACTCATAAAAATAATTAAATAAAAGTTATTTGAATATAATCTAATATGATAAAACAAATATAACTAAAATAATCAATTTTTTATTTTTGATACAAATATAATCACTAAATTATTATTGTATTTTTTAGAAAAAAATATTTATTGTATTAAATTTAGTTAGGAATTTAATATAAATGTATTAATAAATTTAGTATAAATAATTAATAATTTTTATTAATAGACATGTATAATTAGTAGTATAATTGATAATATAATTATATATATAATTATACACATATATAAATATATCTTTTTTTTCTAAACGGATGGCGGGGCGGAGGGTGAGGCGGGAGAGTATACCCCCGCCCCGTTTCTAAACGGGGAGAAAAATTCCCCCCGATCCCCGCCCCAATAGACCCCCGTGGGGCGGGTGCCCGCGGGTACCCGCGCCTGTTGCCATCCCTAATCATGTAGTATAATAGTCAACTGGTTTTCATTCATGTGGTACATTAGTCATTATGCCATGAAATGATGGAACTTGTATTCAATTAGATTGACCGTAAATCAAAAGAGCAAATTATTATTTTTTTTAATTTAAGTGTGCAAATTGCAACTGAGGTGCAAGACATGATTGCAAGTCCTCGCTTAGTTCCTAGATAGCGTCATAGAAATTTTTGAAAGAAATAAAACTGTTATTACTATTTTATGGATTATTTTTCTATACACTAATAATGTATACATTTTTATCATTGGATGCATAACACATAATTTGAATTTCAAACTCAAATTATGTATATATTTTACATCTAACCGTGATAATATGTACACTATTGGTGTATATAAAATTAACTCTTATTTTATTGGTCAAAAGCGAGACTTTAAAACTTGGCTTGAAAGCCGTGCCAAAGACCTTATAGTCATATAGGTAATGTCTCTACCGACTAAAATGATTTTTGTGACAAGCACTTTTTTTGCTGCACTAGGAGTAAAATGTTCCGCTTAAATTTTTTTTTTTTAATTGAGGCCTGATATTGGAAGGGAATGTCTAAAGCTATTTGTGTATTGTGGCTGCTGTGTAAAAAGAGGATGAGCACATCGTTTAAGGTCAAAATAGGACACAAATAACAACGCATTTTGGGAACCTTTCTTTGTTTTGTTTTTGTTTTTTTTGTGGAACTTATTGAGATAAATTTTTTTACCAATGGATAACGGTATTTTCTGGCTGGTTTAAGATTGGACTTGAACTTTTATTCGACATCCAATGGGGAATAGTCTTTTTACCAAGCCTCTTCGTTACTTTTGTTAGTTACAGAGCTTTTTTCTCTAGTGTACTTAAGAAAGTTTTTCCTGCAAGCATTCATTGGTGATATTAATAAAAGTTCCCAAAAAAAAAGAGAGAAAAAAGCTCCTTTTTAGTCCTCCTCTCCCTTCTTGCTTCTTAAATCCCACCTCTTCCCTACTTAGAAAAATTTTGAAAAAAACTCCTTTAATATGCGGATAAAGAAAATAATGGATGTTGCATTGGAGAAAGTTATGTGAATTCTTGATAAATAATGAATTTCCCAAGCAATAGTTAAATTTCTCAAATAATTATAATGTACTTAATTTGGAAAATTGAAAGATACTCGTTTTCTAATTTTCTAATAAATTTTTATTTTTTTATTTATAAAAAGGGACGGCCTTAAAAATCTTTACTCTTAAGTCAGCATGTCAATGGGTCGGGTCTTATCTAGATCCAATCCAGACCCAATATATTTGGGTAAGGTTTGGATTTAATTTCTCAAATTCAGACCCTACCCAAATCCAGACCCTGTGAGAGAGTCATGCATCTGGGTAGGGTTTGGTTTTCTAGAATCTATATCCAAATCCAGACCTATACCAGATCTTATCCAGACTCATATATATTTAATTAAATAATATATATAAGTAAAATTGTAAAATAATTTAATATTTTATGGTTATTGGATCGAATATGGTAAGATTTTATGACATCAGAATCTGCATTTGGTATTGGTGGTTGGGTGATTGATGAGACTCACGTCAAATTGCTTCTAAATATGGTTGAAACATTAGTGACTACTGATGATTGGATAGAATCAAAGAAAAAATGAGTAAGTGTTTATAAATCTTCTTATTCTATTATTTATTTGTCATCGGTCCTTAGTCAAATGACTTTTATCTCATTCATTATTTTAGTGCTCGATTGCAAGCCATCTACCAACATTGAGATTTTAATAAGAAAAAGAGGTACAAAATTACATTTTTTAATAAGACTAAATATTTATATATGTTATGGTTGTTTTCTTTTTTAAAAACTAATCCTAGTTATCATTATAATTGGTATAAACTTTTTCAAAAAAAAGGAGAAAAGGCAAAGGCAAATAAATAAAATATTGGATGTGGATGCAGTTGAATCTTTGAAAATATATAGAAGTAGTCAATAATAATTCTTTCTTTGAGTTCACACTATTGCATTCAACTTGTTGAATGTTAATTTTATTATTTGAAAACAAAAATTAGATGGCATTTATATTATTTATAAACTTTATATATTTTAAATACATTTTTACTTTAGTATATTCAGAAAATACCCATGAATGCCATTGGATACCCAGATCCATAAGACTTTGGGTATGGACTTACTTTTTCTGACCCAAAAGGATTTGGGTCTGGATCTGGATCTAACTAAATTAAATAGGTCTGAATCTGAATCAAAAGGATCTAACTCAGTCCCTACCCATTGATATGCCTACTCCCAAGTAATCGAATTCCACTCTTTGAATGCTCATTTATTTATAAAAGGACGGCCCGTAAACTTTCTATTCGAGAAATGAAATTTTCTTCAAGAAAATAATTGGGATACAATATATTGAGTACATATAGAATCAAATCCCAAATATTCCGATGCATATCACATCATGAAGATTGCCTTCTCTTGGGGTACTCGGACTTGTAGGGAAGAAAAAACTTCGATATAGTAGTAGAAATAGAAACTATTGTGGTAAAGTCTAAACTACCGTAGACTTAATTAAGTAGCTTTGGAGAAAAAGTCAGAAATAATTTCCATGTGACATAGCAAAAATTAAAAGACAAAATAATAAGGAAAAGATAATATCTCAAATAAAGATTCTTGAGATTCAAAAAGATATGCCCATTCAGACAAGAAAGTATAGATGTTAAAAATGGTAAAATGGAAAATATATCTCCCGAGAGTGATTCTAGGGTTTGATTAAATGAAGTTGGGAAGCAATTAAAAAGCATGTATTTAAGCGTCTTCCTTGTATATAGGAGAAAAGATTCACAAAAAATAATATAAATGTAATGAAAATTATAACATTAACCAGTCCTGTATTTGGCAACAAACGAAACATGTGTATAAATATGCAGTTAGAAGCACAATACATTTCCCAGAATTCAAGAATCATGGCTTCAAGATTGGCTTTTTGCATAGCTATAGTTCTCATCTTCCTCTGGAGTGTTGCTGATGCTTTTGTGTATTCACCACCTAAAATCTTCAATGTGGTGAACTATGGTGCAAGAGCTGACGGAAACACAGATGACAGTCAGGTTAGTTTATGCATAGTAAATTAGCCTATTCATGGGGTTTTCCAATAAAGAAAGAAAGGGTTCACCGCCTTAAAAGATTGGAAAAATTAATTTTATGTTATGAACTTGATTTTTTTTACACAACCTCTTTTCCAAAATCTCAAATCTTTGTTGAAGTATTTGTATTATGTACTATAATCACTGTTATTATGCCAAAACAGTTGTTGAATTGATAAGAGCAGACCACTTTCTAATAAAATATTGTGTGTCCGAATTCACTTCCAATATGATTGTTATATTGGTTCATGGATATTTTTTAAGTACCTCGAGATATACTCTAGTCTACGATAGTGACCAGAACTCAAACTATCAAAACTTTTTATTATGAAAAAAGATTTGTGTTATTATGTGAAATTTGCCCGCAAAAAAGGCAAAGGTAGCCGTGCATTTGTGATTGTTGGAAAGTGAATTAACTTTTTTCTTTATTTTCTTCTTTTTTTGTTTTGTGGGTACTTTTGAGAAGGCATTCCTTAGAGCATGGAGTGATGCATGTCAATGGAAAGGAAGCAGCACGGTCTTGATTCCAGGGGGAACCTATATGCTGCATTCAATCACATTTTCGGGGCCATGTCTTGGAGAAATGACATTTTTTATTAGAGGGACTCTTAAGGCTCCTACTATTCCTGCTTTGTTCTTCACAGATACTTGGATTGGATTTCATTCTGTTGATAATTTGACTGTGACTGGGAGTGGATATTTGGATGGTCAAGGTGCTTCTGCTTGGCATTATAATGATTGCTTCAAGAACTCGCAATGCTTGCCCCTCCCTTCTGTGAGTTTAATTTCTTCATAGAAATTCTTTATGGGAAAAAATCAAAATTTTTTTTTTGGGTCAGTGCGTTTAGCAAAGAAGATTTTTTTTTTCCCTAAACAAAGTATAGGGCTGGGGATCTATAATCATCAGTTGCCTAAACCCTTTTGTCATCTTAAATTCTTGAAAGATTGTTGCTCAGTTGTGAGGTGAATTTTGTGATCACGGAAGTAACATTCTCCTTAAACACCTTCCTTATTGATGGAAGGCAACTTTGTTCCCTAATTGGTAGTATTATTAGTCTTTCCTTATCTATTAGATTATACATCATTGTTTTGATTGGAATCAGGAGTCAATTAAGGAGGAATTATTAAAATCATCTTCTCTCATTCATGGTAATCATTTATAGTACAAATTTAACTGTTTTTGTGTAATTATGAGTTCAAGAGGAGACTTAAAGACTTAGAGGCAAATGCTTATAATTATTATCCTTATTTATATTTACATTCTCTTCCTAATTAATTTTACATTTAAAAAAATCTGACATCGGACATACATTAGACATACCCAATGATAAAATACTTTATAATTTACTCCCACTGCCAGAGACATGTATTATTAGGCTTTACTTTATAATTTTTTCCTTTTCAATCTCCATTACTACATCTTTTTTATCCCCTTCCCCATCAATCCATCCTAATATTAGGTCCCTTCCTTTTGTTTTGTTTTGTTTTGTTTTTTTAATGCGGATCCTATCAGAGCTTGAGGTTCGACTTTATCAGAAATTCCAAAATACAGTACCTAAGTTCAATCAACAGCAAAAAGGTCCATATCAACCTTTTTGCATGCAACAACATAGACATCAGTTACGTTAGGGTGTCTGCTCCGGAGAACAGTCCAAACACAGATGGAATCCACATTGGGGCATCGACCAACATCAAGATATCAAGAGTAAGCATTGGAACAGGCGATGATTGTATATCCATGGTTTCCGGCAGCCAGAACATTGACATTTCTGAAGTTATTTGCGGCCCTGGTCATGGCATCAGCATCGGAAGCCTTGGTAAAGGCTCTCAAAACCAAAATGTTATGGGCATAAGCGTCAGGAACGCCACTTTCTGGAACACTGAAAATGGTGTGAGGATCAAGACTTGGTCACCTTCTTGGTCCAGTTTGACTTCAAATATTAGTTTCCAGAACATCATAATGAAAAACGTTGGCAACCCCATCATTATTGATCAGAAGTACTGCCCACATTGCCCACCATCGGTATGGTATCTTTTATTGATGTTTTATTATTTGATGTATATATATGTCCAGGTATGTGTGTGTGTGTATTTGCGTCCAAGAGGAGACTTAAAGACTTAGAGGCAAATGGGGAAAGAGGAAAGTTTGAGAGATCCTACGATTATATTAATGTCCTTTCCAACCAACTTGAACTTCGAGGGGCTGCTTGGTTAAAGGGTTTAGGAATCACAAAAAAGAATGAACTCTTTATTTGTTGCTTGGGTTAAGTTTATTGGAATGTAAATTTTGGAATCATTTCTAAAAAATTGGAGCTATCCCATTCCTGAGCAAATTGGGAGGTTTTGGACAAAACCCTCAACTTTTATGACGGACCTGTCCTCTCTCCATCACATGACGCACCTTCTGTTCTTCTTCTTCGTCAGATTTCCTATCTCTTCTTCTTCATCATATAGTCTTCATCTATAATCCAAAATGTCTTGAAAAAAAAAGATCTAAAGTAGATCTAAATGGATTAATAGTGGGCAAATATCTTCAGTGGGCAAATAGTAGACTGAAGCCAATCACCTTTTTTTCTGTCTTTTTAATAAAACATTTCTCAATAACTGCTTTTGTTGCTTTTAGGGTGGTGAATCAGTCTCAAAAGTTCAAATCAGAGATGTAGAATTCAACGACATTTCGGGCACATCCAGTTCAAAGGTTGCACTATCTTTGCAATGTAGCAAATTGGTGCCATGCCAAAACGTGAAGCTTGTGGATATTGACTTAGCTTACAAAGGCCTAGGAGTGCTTGCCATTGCATCTTGCTCTAATGTTATTGGTACTTCCTATGGCATACAGAATCCTGGAGGTTGCCTTTAGGGATTAGTCTGCCCATATATCGCCTTCCCTAACACACATTTAGTTTTAATGGACATATGATCCATTTAGTAGTTCTAACGTTCTCCATTTAATATATTAAGTGATACTAAAAGGATATCTCCAATTAATATAGTGACATGCTCTGCATTTCCAAATATATGTTTCTAGTTTTCGTTCTTTGGGTATTTCATTAAAATTCTCAAAATTCTCATGCAATGATGAAAATATTGAAAGTAAAGGATTTATACCAAACTTAGGATATGGTTGGTTCCCATGGAATTGGGGATTAGAATTGGAATTGGGGCTCCAATTTCAAATCTGTTGTTTGGATTCTGCTCCACTTAAAGAATTAGAATTTAATCTGAATTGAATTTGTGTCCAATTTCATGAGTTGAATTTTTGACCGGATAAAAAAATTCTAATTCCAATTCCACACAATTAAACCCTAAGAAACGGGTCTACACACGGATCCAATGTAGGTAAAAATTAAAATCGGGTCAAACACAAAGTTGCAAGAAACAGAGGCGCCTCTCTGTCCCAATCGCTTGCTGAGCCTCGCAGGTGCCCTTTCTCCACCGTCGCTGCAACCTCCACTCTAACATTTTACCTCTCCTAGCTACCACCATCTCCCTCTCCGCCTTCCAATTCTCCGCCCACTTTTTCTATCCTTCTCCACTCCCGCCACCCCTCCACCCATCACCTCGCCAATCGCAAGACCTACGCGTCCAATTTTTTTCTCTTTGTCTCCACACTTACTTCTGCTGCTCCACCATTGCGGTTGCAGTCACCTTTATTCCTCTCATCCTTACTTTTTGGGTTCTTTCCTTCAGCTCTTTTGCTTTCCCCAAATTTTAGAAATACTTAGGGCTTGTAAAAGGTAACTTTATCTTTGAAACTTTTTCAATTAATCATTGGTTGTGGGCTTTATTACAAAACTTTGTTTCATTTGATACATTGCCACGGTTTGTTCTGTTTCAAGGTGCCACCTCAAAATCCATCTGCCAGTGGAAGATACTGTCTTGCGTGAAATTGTGAACACTACTCCGAAATTGTGAACATCTTGCGTGAAATTTATCCTTTCGTAAAACTTCCAGAGAAGTAAGTTTAAGCTCTGTAATTTAGATTTGACTATGCATTTAGAGATTCACATTTGTGACATAGGTCTGTATTTGGAATCTTCATGCATGTCTATGTGCGTCTCGGATTTTTGTTCTACCTTGTTTGGAAGTTTAATTTCTTCGTGCAGTACATGAAAGCAAATAAGACCGCAAAAGCCACAATTACTATAGCTACAAAGCCCATAAATTCTGAATCATATCCAAAATGCTCTTTGGTGTAGTCTTTGATCATTACTATAACTCACTCAAGTTTACCATTCCTTCGAGATCACAATCTCGACCTAATTTTGCTCTACATTTTTCATATGACTCAATGAGTTAAGCAAGGCATGTCTTGAGAGGCCACTGAACTGAACTTCATGGCCTCTTTTAAGCTCACAATATCACTGGAAAATCCTTCATATGAAAAACACAAGTTTACAGTGAATTCTGTCTGAATTGTTGATCCCTTTTCGATTTCCTTGTTTCCTGGATGCTTGCATATATCTGGATCATGTGTAACCAAACCATTTTGCAAGGTGCATCCCATTAAGATTTCTCAGATAGATGCTGAGGTTTTGGATACTTATGATTCAATTTGGTTGATGAATTGGTTTTCGAGTCATATGATGATATGGATTCCGAGAGTTTAGATTCTAGCAGAGGGATTTTGATGGAAGTTTAGGAAGGGTGGGTTTAATGATTGGAAAAGATTTAGGGGTGTAAAGAGAGTGAAGAAAGATTCATAATTTGAGGTCAAATTTGTGGAAGGGTGTTAATAAGGCAAAAGGTGGAGAGAAGGCTATGAAAACTGACAGGAAAGATATTATGGATCGTAGTTTATCGGATAATGAACTGGCATTAGATTTTGATATTAGTAATTTGGAGTGTGATTTGAGCTTGAAGCCTTGTAATGGAATTTTGAAGCAGCTGGAAAGTGGTAGTAGTGACAATAAAGCTTTAAGTTTTTTTTAGTGGATGAGAGAAAATGGGAAGTTGAAGAAGAATTTGACTGCATATAATTTAATATTTAGAGTGATAGGTAGGAGGGAGGAGTGGGATGTGGCAGAGGACATGATTAGAGAGATTGCTGATTCAGGGTGTGAGATCGAGTATCAAATTTTTAACACTCTGATTTATGCTTGTTACAAGCGGGGGCTTGTGGATTTGGGAGCAAAGTGGTTTAACAGGATATTGGAACATAGGATCAGGCCTAACATTGCTACTTTTGCGTTCAAAACTTCTACATTTTTCTTCTTCTCTCAAATGTTCCTGCTCATCCCACATGAAAATTCTCTTGGTTTTCTAATTGGAGTCCTGGCTCAATATTACTTGCTATCTTGATAAAGTTGTTAAATAATGGACAGGATTTCGGTTTTTCTTATCTTTCTTGTAAAAACCATTTGCAAATTCAGTTGTATATGATGAATGAAAGAAATTAAAGTTTTAATATCCTAGTCGGTAGTGAGATGCATGGATATTCTCGAAAAAATATTGTGGGATGAAAGACAGAATATAACAAATATGTACCATGAACCTTCCTACTATTTCCTTTTCTTTGGATAGACAGAAACATACATAGATAGAACGTTTGGGATAATAGAGAATTATTTGAGCAATGCAATATGATAATATTGATGCTTAATCACAAACTGATGTCTTATAAGCAATGTCAAATAATCAATGTTTTATCACTACATTGTCGTGATTTTGAATTGCAGAATTTGGATATCGACACAGATCAAGGAGACGAGCAAAAAGCAAAAAAGAAAAAAGTGGTAGTTGCAAATTATATGGTAACGGTAGCTACATTGGTAGTTTGGTGGCATGAGAAACATATAGTAAAGGAACCTTATTTTGACTCTAAAGTAGCACGTGAAATATATTTAAGGCGTCTTTACTATGGAAACAATAGAGTTTGTGTAGAGCAACTTCGACTGAATAAACATTGTTTTACTAGTTTGTGTACAAATTTAACAGAGCATTGTGAGTTGAGAGATACTATAAATATTACACTTGAAGAGGCAGCTGCAATGTTTCTCCATGTTCTTGCTCATAACTTTAAGAATCGCACTGTCAATTTAATCTCATAAGATCATGTGAGACAGAGAGTCGATACTTTAATATAGTTCTACGTGCTATCATAAAATTGGGGAGACACTATTTTATCCAGCATGAAAAGGAAATGGAAGGTTACGAGCATGAAAAATGGGAATGGTTTCAAGTAATCAATATTTTTTTATATTTGTTAGTGAAGATAATATTTACAAATTCATCAACTTATGATATTTTGTATGTAATACAGGATTGTCTTGGAGCGTTAGACGGTACTTATGTAAGTACATGTTCTTCTTAGAGACCAAGGAAGGTACAGAAATAGGAAGAATGAGATAGCAACAAATGTTTTAGGTGTATGCTCCCGTGACATGAGATTTACATATGTATTGTCTGGATGGGAAGGTTCTGCAGTAGATAGCAGTTTTACATGTTGCGTTAGGTAGATCAGATCCATTAATTGTTCCCAAGGGTATGTGACAATTAGACTTATCGAGTGTTTTTTTTCAATTATAAATGAGTAACAATTTGTTGTCTAACATTATAGGCAAGTACTTTCTTGTTGATGCAGGTTATGCAAATAGCCCAGGTTTCTTCGCTCTGTATGGTGGAGTTAGATATCATCTTAATGAATGGTTTCCTAGTGGGAACAAGCCTCAAAATTTTAAAGAGTTATTCAACCTTCGACATTCAATTGCTAGAAATGTGATTGAAAGGACATTTGGTTTGTTCAAGAAGTGATGGGCCATTTTGAGAGATGCATTTTTTTTGATGTCAAGACTCATGTCATGATAATTAATGCATGTGCCATCCTTCATAATCTTATTTGAGTAGAACAACCAAATGATCCTTGGATGAAGTTGATGTTGAGATGCGAAGAGTACAACATGAGGTTGATGATGAAGATGAAGGGTCCGTTTGGTTGGGAGTAAAATGTTTTCCTTGAGAAAATATTTTCCATGGAAGTAATTTTCCAAGAAAATCATTTCCCTTTCATCATTTTCAGGTGTTTGGTTAGCCTATTGAAAATATTTTCTTACTTCATTTTCTGGTGTTTGTTTGACTTTTGAAATATTTTCCAACTTTGAAATATTTTCACTTTACCTCTATCTTTACTTTCTACACATTATAACCAAATACTTCTTCCATGAAAAATAAAAAAATTATCTCATTGTTTAACTTTAAAAAAACTTAGAGAAATGTAAATATGACTCAAAAATTTCTCCTTAAGCAATAAACAAATTGCTAGCCATTCATTGTCAAATATCAATCACATGCAATGCTTATTGTGACATATGTCTTGCACTCTCACTGCTAAAAGCTCCTTTAGAAAAGAATGTCGCTATTATACATAATTAATTACTAGAATAAGGTGAGCAAGGTGAGACCTTTTTTGATTTTGAACATACTATAATCTTTGAAAGTTTGGCAAGTACCTTTATCAGGTGAGATGCGTGCGATTAGGAAAACAATTTCAATAAGTTTAGAAGAGAAGTTGTTTTTCATAGGATGAGTGAAAATCTTTTATACAGTAAAATATTTTCAATAATTTTTGTGCAACCAAACAAGAGAAATTAGGAAAATATTTTTCTGGAAAAGATTTTCATCTGAACCAAATAGACCCA